TGACAGCCTTTGATCCCTTCTGCACAGCCACCACTTTTGCCCCTGGACACTCCATGTCACTACCTCTGCTGCTACTATCAGTCCAGCTGCCAGAATGGTTTCTCCCTGGACCCTCTAATTCCTTGAATCGTTAGCTCTCACTTCAAAGTCCAAGATGGATGCATCTAATTGCTAAGTCTAGGTCATGTGCCTAGACTTGAACCCAGGATCCAAGGAGCTAGGAAAGGAAATATTTGGAGATTTCACTTCCCATTACAAGTGAGCTCAGTTTCTCACTGAGGCTAATAATATTGGGAATTATCCAAAACTAAGGAAGGGATTCAGATGATGGCAACCAAAAATAAAACAATGACAAATGTACACAACCTGTAGATTACTGTAAAAGTCTCCTTGTGGACTGCCCTGCTTTCAATCTTGTCTTCCTCTTCCCCTGACTCTGTTCTCAAGCCAGGCTGCAATGAGTTATCTTTTGAAAATGCAACTCTGGTGATGTTTCTAACAGATATAACACTTTTCTTTGCCTCCCAACTACCCATAAGATAAAATTCAAGCTCTCCACACAGAGGGCTCCAGGCCCTGTCTGAACTGACTCTTGCTTTCTACCCTTATTTCTCATCTCCAGACAGATTTCTGTTCAGCTGAGTTACCCGAGTCTGCCGTGCTTGCTCTAGGACCAAGTCTTTGTATATGTTTCTGCCAATATCCTCTTTACCTGCCAGATTCTTCCTCATCTTTCATGTATCATTCTTTTGGCTTTAACTCTTCCATAAAAGCTTTCCTGATCCTAACCCTGATGATTCTTCTAGGTGCTATCATATCACTTTGTTTTTCTTTCTTCGTACTCTTAACACACTAAATCATATGTGCTTATTACTTATCATTCTCTTATAGACTATTAGGTTCAAGAGGGGAAAAAAAACCTTGTCTTTTTCAAAGTTTTATCCCCTTTCCAAAGCACACTGCTTGGTATGCAGTAGATAAATACATTTGGAATGGTTAATTCTTTTCTGTGTAGTACATCTATCCCAGCTTAAGTTTCAAAAGTTACTCATTTCAAGAATCAAAGATGTTTTTCGATTATCTACTTGGATATTCAGTTTAGCCTATTCCGGGTAGGCTAAGACAAAATGTCTCCCAATCTCTCTCATCACTGAGTTCAATACAAAAACTGAATTTCTCTCAGGCCAAAAAAACAGTAGCTTCTCTTCCAAAGAAAAATAATTTTTTGCATGAAGTGAAAATATGGTCTGTTAGCCTTCAGTACACATTCTTTCAGCCAAGAATTTTTCCTGTCCCATCTTCATGTGTCTTCTGGTTTTATGTTGCCTAGTGACTCGTGATCTCATACATTGTAAGAGCTGATCCTGGCACTGGCTTCCCCTAAAGTTATCTATATTTGCTGACTGAGGGGCCAATCATATTTAGGAGCTCTGTTCTAAGAGAAACCAACCTGCTTTGTTAGGACAAACTATAAATGGCTTTGAAAAAGACAAAGTAGTAAGCAGTGTTCTTTTGAGGGAATGCTGGATGGGCTCCGGTGGACCTTCAGGGTCATCTGATTCTATAGGGGTCTAAACCTTTCATTGTCTTTAACTAGTCAATGATACAACTCTGTAAGTTGAAGAAATCTGATAGCAATGCAGAGTATACTTATACATAGATAAGCAAATGATTCTTTCTAGTAGAAATACTATTGATTTTCACTCTGTATAAATGATTCCAAACATTACATTTTATTGCTCTATAGATATTAACCAGTTTCAAATATATTAGCAAATTCATTTCAGCAATCCTGATTACCTTCATATGTGTCTGGTCTTCAGAATCGCCTTTGAAATGATTGTAACATCTTACTGGTTTTCTCAATTAATTTGTTATATAAAATCTTGAATGCATATTAATTTTATACTTGTTTATATTTGCCATTATTTTGCCTTTTCAAAATCGTACTGTAACTGCCTGTTTCTCACGAGCAAAACATAATCAAGTATTCAAGATACACCAAATGTAACTTTTCTCCATATACAGCCTGTATTGGAATAATTGGACAGCAGTCAGGATGGGTTCATCCTGGAGCACAGACAGGACGAAGGAATTAGAGGAATATTTGGGTTGATAAAGATGGGAACAATGATGCGACCACTGTAGTGAACTTGTAGGATTTACTTGAAGAAAAGTGGGAAATATGGTTTAGTAGGTAGAGCAGGACTAACACATACAGAATCTCACAATTCTGGCAGAACAAAGTAACCAATCTTTCTAAGAAGACATCTGACACAAAAGTACAATTAAAGAAGGTATGGCTGGTTAACACTGAGTTTTAGGATCTCTGATTAAATATCTTCTGCTGAATCAACAGATTCTACAAATCACTGCATCTTATGTGTTGGTAGATTCTGGAGTTGGATTTCTGGGACCCCTCTCAACTCTTACATAATGCCTTTTGAAATTAGAGATTTCTATAGATGGAAAGCTGCTTCTAAACAAGCAGCCCGGGCCGGCCCGGTGGCGCACTGCTACAGTGCGCCGCTTGGGAGCGCGGGGAGCGCGGCGACACTCCCGCCGAGGGTTCGGATCCCACATACAGACCGGTTCCCGCTCACTGGCTGAGCGAGGTGAGGGCGCAACACCGAGGGTTGCGATCCCGTTGCCGGTCCCGGTCCGGTACGGGCGTGACACTGAGGGTTGCGATCCGTTGCCAGACACGAAAAAAGACAAAAAGGAAAAAAAATAAATAAATAAACAAGCAGCCCAATTCAATGCTCATAAGACACACAATACCCCGGGAACATCCCACCAAATTTACTCCTGATGCAAGTTACGAAGTTAAGATTCACCACATCCAGGAAGCTTTCTTTATTGACTTCTAGACTCAATCTTGAGGCAAAGATCTCTTCTGAAGTTTTCTAGATGTTCCTTCCTGTTAGTCTATGAACAAGATATAGGAAAAGAACAGCAACATTTAGAGTAACAGGAGAGTCATTACCTCATAATATTCAATTCAAAATAACAGTGGAATCTAAATTGCTGCCCAATTATTCTACAGATAATGAAACACCTTTTTATGTATTCTGGTGATATTCCTATATAAGTGTCCTGTGCAAGCCACATAGTTCTCTCAAATGTTCTTCAAGATTAAATTAGGTTCTCATAACTCCTAAGTTTGTTTTAGTTTTCTTTAAAGCTTTGTCAAAATTTTATATTATTTGTTTAATTTCTTCTCCATCTTCCCCATTTAAACACCCCACATTATTTTTAATTCTTTGAACATAAGGACTGTGTCATCAGTCTGGATCAAGAGTTAGCAAATTTCAGCTCCTGAGCCAAATCCATTTCACTGTCTGTTTTTGTATGGCTTGCAAACTAAAAATGCTCTTTTTTTTTACATTTTTAAACTGTTGTTAAAAAAATCAAAAGAAGGATATTTTTATCACTTAAAAACTATATAAAATACAGTTGTCAGTGTCTGTTAATAAGGTTTTATTGGCATAGAGTTATGCTCATTCATTTAAGTATTGTCTATGGCTGGTTTCACGCTAGAATGTCAGAACTGAGTAATTACAACAGAGACTGTACAGCTCACAAAGTCAAAAATATTTACTATCTGGGGCTGGTCCGGTGGCGCTCCCGCCGAGGGTTCGGATCCCACATACAGACCGGCGGCTCACTGGCTAAGCGAGGTGCAGGCGCAACACCAAGGGTTGCAATCCCGTTGCCGGTCCCAGTCCGGTACGGGCGCGACACTGAGGGTTGCGATCCATTGCCGGTCACGAAAAAAGACAAAAAGGACAAAAAAAAAAATATTTACTATCTGGACCTTTACAGAAAAGTTTGCCAACCCTTGGTCTAGAGTACATCTTTTCATCTAGCACCTGAAACTTAATGAGTGGTTATTACTGTCTTAGTCCATTTTGTGTTGCTATAACAGAATACCTGAGACTGGGCAATTTATAAAGAACACAGGTTTATTTGGTTCACAATTCTGGGACAGCTGCATCTGGTGCTGGCCTCAGGCTGCTTCCACTTATGGTGGAAAGCAGCAGGCGGCTGATGGGTAGAAGCAGGTCACATGGTGAGAGGAAGAGAAAGAGAGAGAGAGAGAAAGAGAGAGAAGGTGCCAGGGTCTTTTAAACAACCAGCTGTCACAGGAGCTAATAGAGCGAGAACTCACTCACTACCTGCCCCCCCCCAGCTCCCTCTAGGGAGAGCATTAATCCATTCATGATGGATCTGCCCTCAGTGACTTAAACAGCTTTCAACACTGCCACACTGGGGATCAAATTTCCACATAAGTTCTTGGAGGACAATATATCCAAACTCCATCCATTACTATCTGTTGGACTACCTACTAATGAATGAATATGAATGAACATGACTGGACACAAAGAATGGATGAGATGATAGTTTAAAATATTTCATTGAGGGCCGGCCTGGTTAAAATATTTAGTTTAAAATATTTTAAAACTAGTTTAAAATATTTCATTGAAAACCAAAAAATGGAATTATTAAAGTTTATTTTGCGGTTTGGGGTCAGATGATCAGAGTCAGATTTACTAAAAATATCAATATTATACTAATATTATAACATTAATAAAAATTAGAACTTTAATGAAGTATGTAGAAGAGTGAAGTGAGCCTATGAGAAGTACAAAATGCCCTACTATACTGCTAGTGCCTATTGCAAATATCTTCTTTAATTATTCAATACTGGTTAGTGAGATACTTGATATTTACTCACAGGGCACATATTAAATTAAAATCATAAATGATGAACACAAGTATACTTGATATTTCTTCCAACATATAGAAAAGGAAAAACTGATATATTTGTTTAATGTTTCTCCCAATTCGTAGATTAGTGGCTTTATAATAAACTAGAAAAGCAATCATTACTACGAATGACAATTCTGTGTTGTCTTTCAGAACACAAGAATAAAACGGGTTTCCAGTGCCTCTGGCCTTCCTGTTAAGCACAAAGAGTATATGAAGACTGCTCCAACATGTCAGAGACTTCCTCCCATGACTCCTTCCATGATTCCCTATCAGACATGCAGGAAGAAAGCAAGACTGCTGACCTCTTCCCAGAGCTATCTGCGTTTCTCAGCCAGGAGGAGATAAACAAGAGCCTTGACCTGGCCCGGAGAGCCATAGCCAACTCTGAAACAGAAGACTGTGACTCAGAAAAGGAGATCTCGCAGATTTTCAATACCTCTCCTGTAAGCTTCTGTGAAAATCCTTCCCATAAGGAGACCAAACTGGGTGAACAAACCTCTTCAGGAAGACCTCAGGATAACAAGCCAACACCCATCCAGCCTCTGGCAGAAGAACAAACTAAGAGTTTCTCTTCACCCTCTACAAAGAGGAAACCTGCCATATCACCCCTGCTTGCCAGACCCAGCTACATCCGGAGCCTCCGAAAGGCTGAAAAACGGGGTGCAAAAACTCCCAACACAGATGTGAAGCCCAAACCGGCACGTCCAGGTACGGCTGGCCCCCAGAGCCAGCTGTGTGACAAGGCAGCTCATTTGATCGAGGAGCTGACATCCATATTTAGAGAAGCGGCAAAGCCGAGAAACAGAAGTCCCAACGAGGAGTCCTCATCACCAGACAGTGGGTACCTGTCTCCTAAAAATCAGCCACCTGCCCGGATCGGTGCCTCTGCCAGCCAGAGCCCCACCGAAGACCAGCAGGAGAGAGAAGCAGAGGTCAAGTCGCCCGAGGCCAGGCGCTGCTGCCAGGCGGGCCGGGGCGTGGCGGTGTCGCGCCGCAGCGGCTCTCACCCGCCGCCCCACAATGCACTTCGCTTCCCCTCCGCGCCTCGGTTCACCCAGAAGCTGAGGAGCCAGGAAGTAGCGGAAGGAAGTCGAGTTCATCTGGAGTGCAGAGTCACCGGAAGCCCAACTCCTCGAGTCAGGTAAGAACTTTTTATTAGGAAGAGCCAATGCTCGTGTTGACTTTTGTTGTTACTTTAATGTGGGAGGAGGAAAGGTTTCTTGCCCTCTGGAGACCGAGGTAGAGTTTTACTAAGAACCTGCAGGAAAAAGCATCCCAGAATTGCAAATACTAGCTGTGCCTGTTGTCCCTGGTGGGATATACTCGTCGTCATGGACCCTTCGTGCTACTGACTCAGAGAGAAGGCAAAGGACTTAAACAGGAAAGAGGAGCCTAAACAGGTTGTTCTGTAGGCCTCTGGAATTAATGGCGGCCAGGGAAACAAAATGTGAAACCTGTTTATTCAAAGTACTGTGAAAAGTGTCTGTATATTTGAGTATAAGTAGCTGAAGATGGTTGAGAACATAGCTAAAATTAGATGTTGTCTGGAAGTTCAGAGATGAAAAGCACAGGTGTGCAGAGACCAACCCTAAGATTAGCCCCCAAATAGATAATTCAGTCTGAGGCATGGGCTAAATCTGCGCATATTTGGTAAAGATAGTCACAGGCACACACCTTCAATGTGACACAATCAAGGAAGGCAGAGCTTTTCTAACAAAGACAGATAAGCCAAGTTAGGAGCACCTCAGGTCTGTTATTCATACACAGGCTCTAGCATGGGTACAGCAAAAAATAACAATGAAATGAGTGAGCACTTAGAGTCAATAAACACACCACCATGTCCCGTATAATTTCTGTAAGTTCTTCCTCCTCAGTTGCAGAGTTTATGTCTTCTCTTGAGTAAAAAATTAAAGGGACGGGCCCTGGAGTCATGCTGCAGGGTTTCTGATCATGTTCCACCTTAGTCAGTTTACGTTATACTTCTATGACTTAGTTTCTTCACCTGTGAAATGGTAATTATAAAAATACCTACCTTACTCTATTTTATGTTAGTTGAATAAAATAATAGCTGGGGGAAAAACAGTGCCTTGCACCTGGTAACTGCTACATTAGTGTTACCTGTTATCTTCATTTCTCATTTCTTAATTTTGTATGCCAAAATAAAAATATCATTTCAAGTCAGAATTATATTACAAGCAAATTAGCCATGCATTCATTTATCTTGAGAGTTTTGCTTTCATTCATGAAGAATGCTTTACCTAAATCATGTAAATACAAAAAATTACATTTAAATTACTTAATTTGGAAAAATGGTAAAGTAGGCATACTGGTTAAAAAATAGGAATACTGGTACTTTCTTACTAACAGCATTTCACTAATCACAAAAGTTGCTATACTTCTTACCCTACATTCGTTAATACACACTTTGCAGGTGTTCGTTTCTTAGACTGACAAGTCATTACTCGCAAACATGAAGTAAGCAGTAGCAATACTGGCTGAAAGGGGTATAATTAAAGGCAGGCAATTTTTTTTCCCCCAAACAATTTGTTCAACTAATTTACCTTGAGTCAGTTTTTCCAGTAGTTTTACTGTTACAATATTTCTCTTAGAAACTGACAGCAGGGGGCAGTAAAAAACTTCTTAATCTGTTTATTTAATTAAATATGTCATTCTAAAATTCTGTATTTATATGTTTTCCATAAATTTTTTAACTTATTTTTTGAATTGAAACATAATTGATCATGCATATTTATGGAGTACAGAGTTGACTATGAGAATTTGTGTACAGTATGTAATGATCAAATCAATATTATTAGCATGTTATCATTGAAAATTGTAATAATTCTTTGTGTCCCTTACTCAGTTACTCCCTAACCTCCCTTCCCCCACTTTCCCACCTCTAGTAAATATAGGTCTCTTCTCTCCTTCTGAAATTTCAGCATTTTATTGTGCTCTTTCTTTCCATAAAGAATTTATTTTTTATCATTTTGCCTCTCATAGAAATAAAATTGAGTATTTCTTTCAGATTCTATTTAGATTTTTAACAACCCACCAATCTTGGGAACAAGCAATTCTTCATCAGAAATACGTACATTCATGGGCCGGCCCGGTGGCGCACTGCGATAGTGCGCCACTTGGGAAGCGCGGCGGCGC